AGAGATTGGATTTCGCTCAAAACCCACCAAATGATTCCTCCTACCATATTATGATGTTTCCCAAGTTTTGGACTCAAGCCGATAACGATTCCTCCATGAAATCGGACAATTCAGGTTCGTACGAAGTTCCTTATGAAATGGAGTGGTTGGTGTATTGCATAGTTTTAGCTATTGGATTTCACGCAAAACCCACCAAATGAGTCGTCCCACCATATTGTGATGTTCCCCAAGTTTTGAGCTCCATCCGATATCGATTGTTCCATGAAATCGGACAATTCATGTTCGTATGAAGTTCATTCAGAAATGGAGTCCTTGGTGAAATTCATAGTTCTGGAGATTGGAGTTCACTCGAAACCCACCAAATGACTCCTCCCGCCATATTATAATGTTCCCCCAGTTTTGGACTCAATCCGATATCGATTGGTCCATGAAATCGGACAATTCAGGTTTGTACGAAGTTCGTTCAGAAATGGAGTCGTTGGTGAATTTCATAGTTCTAGACATCAGATTTGACTAAAAACCCACCAAATGACTGCTCGCACCATATATTGATTTTCCCCAAGTGTTGGGCTCAATTCAATATTGATTGGTCCATGAAATTGGACAATTCAGTTTCGTACGAAGTTCCTTCTGAAATGGAGTGGTTGGTGTATTGCTTGGTTTTAGCTATTGGATTTCGCTCAAAACCCACCAAATGACTCCTCCCACCATATTATGATGTTCCCCAAGTTTTGGGCTAAATCCGATATCGATTGATCCTTGAAATCAGACAATTCAAGTTCGAACAAGGTTCATTCAGAAATGGAGTTGTTGGTGTGTTTCCCAGTTCTAGAGATTGGATTTCACTCAAAACCCACCAAACGAATCCTCCCACCATATTTCGATTTTCCTGAAATTTTGGACTCAATCCGATAAAAATTGCTCCATGAAATCATACAATTTAGGTTCGTACGAAGTTCCTTCTGAAATGGAGTGGTTGGTGTATTGCCTAGTTTTAGCCATCAGATTTGAGTCAAAACCCACCAAATGTCTCCTACCACCATATTATAATGTTCCTTAAGTTTTTGACTCAATCCGAGATCGATTGGTCCATGAAATAGGACAATTCAGGTTCGTATGAAGTTCCTTATGAAATGGAGTGGTTGGTGTATTGCATAGTTCTAGCTATTGGATTTCACTCACAACCCACCAAATGACTCCTCCCACCATATTATGACATCCCCAAGTTTCGGACTCAATCCGATATCGATTGCTCCACGAAATCGGACAATTCAGGTTCGTACGAAGTTCCTTATGAAATGGAGTGGTTGGTGTATTGCATAGTTTTAGCTATTGGATTTCACGCAAAACCCACCAAATGAGTCGTCCCACCATATTGTGATGTTCCCCAAGTTTTGAGCTCCATCCGATATCGATTGTTCCATGAAATCGGACAATTCATGTTCGTATGAAGTTCGTTCAGAAATGGAGTCCTTGGTGAAATTCATAGTTCTGGAGATTGGAGTTCACTCGAAACCCACCAAATGACTCCTCCCGCCATATTATATTGTTCCCCCAGTTTTGGACTCAATCCGATATCGACTGGTCCATGAAATCGGACAATTCAGGTTCGTATGAAGTTCGTTCAGAAATGGAGTCGATGGTGTATTGCGTATTTCTAGAGATTGGAGTTCCCTAGAAACCCACCAAATGACTCCTCCCACCATATTATAATGTTCCCCCAGTTTTGGACTCAATCTGATATCGATTGGTCCATGAAATCGGACAATTCAGGTTTGTACGAAGTTCATTAAGAAATGGAGTCGTTGGTGAATTTCATAGTTCTAGACATCAGATTTGACTCAAAACCCACCAAATGACTGCTCGCACCATATTATGATTTTCCCCAAGTGTTGGGCTCAATTCAATATTTATTGGTCCATGAAATTGGACAATTCTGTTTCGTACGAAGTTCCTTCTGAAATGGAGTGGTTGGTGTATTGCTTGGTTTTAGCTGTTGGATTTCGCTCAAGACCCACCAAATGACTCCTCCCACCATATTATGATGTTCCCTAAGTTTTGGACTAAATCCGATATTGATTGATCCTTGAAATTGGAAAATTCAAGTTCGTACGAAGTTCATTCAGAAATGGAGTCGTTGGTGTGTTTCGCAGTTCTAGAGATTGGATTTCACTCAAACCCACCAAATGAATCCTCCCACCATATTACGATGTTCCCGAAGTTTTGGAATCAATCCGATATCGATTGCTCCATGAAATCAGACAATTTAGGTTCGTACGAAGTTCCTTCTGAAATGGAGTGGTTGGTGAATTGCCTAGTTTTAGCCGTCAGATTTGACTTAAACCCCACCAAATGTGCCCTCCCACCATATTACGACGTTCCCCAAGTTTGGACTCAATCCGATATCGATTGGTCCATGACATCGGACAATTCATGTTCGTACGAAGTTCGTTCAGAAATGGAGTCGTCAGTGTATTGCATAGTTCTAGAGAATGGAATTCACTCGAAACCCACCAAATGACTCCTCCCACCATATTATAATGTTCCCCAAGTTTTGTACTCAATCTGATATCGATTGGTCCTTGAAATTGGACATTTCCGGTTCGTACGAACTTCGTTCAGAAATGGAGTTGTTGGTGTATTTCATAGTTCTAGAGATTGGATTTGACTCAAAACCCCCAAAATGACTCCTCCCACCATATTGTGTTGTTCCCCAAGTTTTGGACTCAATCCGATGTCGATTGCTCCATGAAATCGGACAATTCAGGTTCATATGAAGTTCCTTGCGAAATGGAGTGGTTGGTGTATTGCCTAATTTGGACACCAGATTTGACTCAAAACCCACCAAATGACTCCTCCCACTATATTTTGATGTTCCCCAAGTTTTGGACTCAATTCAATATCGATTGGTCCATGAAATTAGACAATTCAGGTTCGTACGAAGTTCCTTCTGAAATGGAGTAATTGGTGTATTGTATATTGTTTTAGCAGTTGGATTTGACTCAAAACCCACCAAATGACTCCTCCCACCATATTATGATGTTCCCCAAGTTTTGGACTCAACTCAATATCGATTGGTCCAGGAGATTGGACAATTCAGGTTCGTACCATGTTCCTTCTTAAATGGAGTGGTTGGGGTATTGCCTAATTTTTGCCATCAGATTTGACTCAAAACCCACCAAATGACTACTCCCACCATATTATGACTCAATCTGATATCGATTGCTCCACGAAATCGGACAATTCAGGTTCGTACGAAGTTCCTTCTGAAATGGAGTCACTGGCGTATTGCATAGTTCTAGTGATTGGAGTTCACTCAAAACCCACCAAATGACTCCACCTATCATTTTATGATGTTCCCCAAGTTTTGGACTCAATCTAATATTGATTGGTCCATGAAATCGTTGTTCTTACGAAGTTCGTTCAGAAATGGAGTCGTTGGTGTATTGCAAAGTTCTAGAGATTGGTGTTCACTCAAAACCAACTAAATGACTCCTCCCACCATATTAGAATGTTCCCCAAGTTTTGGACTCAATCCGATATCGATTCCTCCATGAAATCGGACAATTCAGGTTTGTACGAAGTTCGTTCAGAAATGGAGTCGTTGGTGAATTTCATAGTTCTAGACATCAGATTTGACTAAAAACCCACCAAATGACTGCTCGCACCATATATTGATTTTCCCCAAGTGTTGGGCTCAATTCAATATTGATTGGTCCATGAAATTGGACAATTCAGTTCCGTACGAAGTTCCTTCTAAAATGGAGTGGTTGATGTATTGCTTGGTTTTAGCTGTTGGATTTCGCTCAAAACCCACCAAATGACTCCTCCCACCATATTATGATGTTCCCCAAGTTTTGGGCTAAATCCGATATCGATTGATCCTTGAAATCGGACAATTCAAGTTCGTATGAAGTTCGTTCAGAAATGGAGTCGATGGTGTATTGCAAATTTCTAGAGATTGGATTTCACTAGAACCCCACCAAATGACTCCTCCAGCCATATTATATTGTTCCCCCAGTTTTGAACTCAATCCGATATCGACTGGTCCATGAAATCGGACAATTCAGGTTTGTATGAAATTCGTTCAGAAATGGAGTCGATGGTGTATTGCAAATTTCTAGAGATTGGAGTTCCCTAGAAACCCACCAAATGACTCCTCCCACCATATTATAATGTTCCTGAAGTTTTGGACTCAATCTGATATCGATTGGTCCATGAAATAGGACAATTCAGGTTCGTATGAAGTTCCTTCTGAAATGGAGTGGTTTGTGTATTGCATAGTTCTAGCTATTGGATTTCACTCAAAACCCACCAAATGACTCCTCCCACCATATTATGACTTCCCCAAGTTTTAGAGTCAATCCGATATCGATTGCTCCACGAAATCGGACAATTCATGTTCGTACGAAGTCCCTTAAGAAATGGAGTGGTTGGTGTATTGCATAGTTTTGGCTATTGGATTTCACTAAAAACCCACCAAATGACTCCTCCCACCATATTATGACGTTCCCCAAGTTTTGGACTCAATCCGATATCGATTGGTCCATGAAATCTGACAATTCCTGTTCGTACGAAGTTCGTTCAGAAATGGAGTCGTTGGTGTATTGCATTGTTCTAGAGATTGGAGTTCACTCGAAGCCTACCAAATGACTCCTCCCACCATATAATAATTTTCCCCCAGTTTTGGACTCAATCTGATATCAATTGGTCCTTAAACACGGACAATTGAAGTCCGTACGAAGTTTGTTCAGAAATGGAGGCCTTGGTGTATTTCAGAAATGGAGGCCTTGTCCAATTTCATGGGCCAATTGATATTGGATTTCACTCAAACCCACCAAATGATTCCTCCCA